CCAGTGATAAAATCCCTGTCTGCACATCTCACCAAATTCCAACCTACTTACTGGGAAATCAATCTTCCAGTTTAAGTAGGGGTTGGGAGAGTGTCTAGATGGGGTGCTACAAAGGAATAAAAAAGCCAGAGCACCACAGGCATTTATAATCTCCAGAGAGATTGAGGACAATGGGGACTAAGAAAACCCACTGGATGAGGCAATTCATCCATTACTGATGTAAATCTTGGAAAGTGAAATTTCAGCCAGAGAGGAGTCAGAAGCCAGATTGCAGGAGGCTAAAGATTGGGTGATGAAGAAGTAAAGACAATAAGGGTAGATGATTTTTGCCCCCTGAATGTGGGATAGAGATAATGAAAGAGCAGAGATAAAACACAACTGGTTGAGGGAATAGTAGCGTCAAGTGAAGGTTTTTTGCTTTTTTTTTTTTTTAAGGACTAATTAGATCTGACCATGTTTATAGGGAGTGAAGATGAAAGTAAATCGGGAGACTGAAAGTGTGAGATCAATCAATAAGTATTTATTAAATACCAGATATGTGCCAGGTACTGTTAGGTGCTATAGATTTTACATTTTATTGGAGAGACAGAAGGGGGTGTGTGTGTGTGTGTGTGTGTGTGTGTGTGTGTGTGTGTGTGTGTGAGAGAGAGAGAGAGAGAGAGAGAGAGAGAATAGTACTAAGTACACAACTAGAAGATCTGGCCCTGACAAGAAGGTCACCACTTCCTAGAAGAAAGGTAAGTATAGTGTAGATGTGGAGCAGAGATGCAGGAGCTAACATTGAGTGGTCTTGATTTTGTCAGTGAAGTAGGAGAGGGGAGCAGGATGGCTCTGGGGACTTTCAGAAAAAGCAGGAAGTTTCCAAATGATGACTTGGGAATGGGATCAAATCAATCAAGGAAGAATAAGAGTATTGCCACTTAGAAAGGAAGGCACTATTGACTTTAGATGACCTCAGTTTGTGGTGGAGTCAATCAGCTGTTGTTTAGTCAAAACACTTCCTGACCCTATTTGGGATTTTCTTGGCAAAGATACCAGAGGGGTTTGTCATTTCCTTCCCTGCTCATTTTAGATGAGGAAACTGAGGCAAACAGTGTTAAGTGACTTACCCAGGGTTATATAGCTAGTAAGCGTCCAAGGCTGGATTTGAACTTATGGATTCCTGACTCCAGGCTCAGTCCTCTATGCACTATGGCACCACCTCCCTGCCCACAGTCAATCAGTATTAGTGTTAATTCTTCCTTTAGTGTTCAACAGTAGGATGTGTTCAAAAGAGCAGGCAACATGGTGGCAGTGAGGATTAGCGGTGAAATAATGGTCAAGGGTACAGGAAGATGTATGGTTGAATTTGTCAAGAAAGTGGTGAGAGGGAAGGGAGGGCTACTGGACCAGGAGAACAAGGTAGGGTAGGGAGTGGGGTTGCAGTGAAGATGACAAATGATTTTGGGAGGAATGAGCTGGAGAGATGAAAAGACAGAAATTCTAGATGAACTGAAAGAAATGGAAAGGATTTTAGAGTAACAACACTGGAGTAGAAATAAAGTCTAATTCTAGTTAAATCCCTACTTCTCAAAGGTGGAAATGTCATTTTAATGTCACAAGGAAATTCCACCTACTAATACAGATCAGCCACTTTTCCTGCCACTTACAGAGAGAGTTGTCTAGGAATGAGAGCTTCAAGGACTGGCCCAGGGTCATATCATAGAAGGAGTTGCAGATGGGATGTGAACCCAGGTCTTCCTGACTTTAAGGCTGCCTCTCCCAAATAATTTTCTTTGGGGTGTAGAAATGCATATGAATAATAAAACGTTCCAAAGATTCATTAGTCAATTCAATCGTTTGTTATCTTTAGACATGAACTGTTATATATACGTTTTGTATTGTTCTACACTAATACGAATAGTACTTTTATTAATATAACATTTAAAAAAGGGATATTCTTTAAAATCCTTTAACAGCCTTTTAAGAAAGATGCTGTAGGGAAGAGAACAAGCATTTATTAGGTGCCTACTATGTGCCAGGTTCTCTGCCAATAAGTACTTTACAAACATTAGAACAGAGGTTCTTAGAACGGTGCCCATTATTTAAAAATATATATTGATAACTATCACAGTATAATTGGTTTCTTTGTAATCCTATGGATTTGATTTTATGCATTTAAAAATAACCCTAATAAGGGGTCCATGGGCTTCATCAGACTGACTGTCTCAAGGGGTCCATGGCACATGGACCAAAAAGGCTCAGAACCCCTGCAGTAGACTCTCAATCCAAAAACAATAGTTTGACGAGACCATGCAAATGCTTTCAAGTAAGCATATGACAGTAGTTGGTAGCAGTGAATCTTACATTAATAATACTTCACTCTTTTGACTAAACATATATTTACTAATAGGTGATGAAGTGTTCTTGAATATAATAAAAACTAAATTCATTCAAAGAACCCCCAGACTATGTTTTGTTTTGTTTTGTTTTTTCTTAAACAGAAGCCTTGACGTCTTCTCTTTGGTAAATGCCCAAATTCAGTCATGCTCCAGGGGATTAGAGCTCATTATTAATATGTCCTTTCATTAATACCTTTCATCCAAGAACCTCAAAGAGCTTTTCAAACATTAATTTGTTATGTCTCATAACATCCCTGTGAGGCAGGGCAGTAGAAAGTTATTATTATCTCAGTTGTACAGCAAGAGAAACTAGGACGAAGAAAGGTTGTGATTTTCTTAGGGTCAAAAAGTGGGGAAAGAAAAGTGGGGACAAGTTCTGTTTCATTTTCTCAGTCTCTGTATAATGGGGGCATTACAGTAAATCTTAACTTAGCACGCGTGTGATAATTTAGTATGGCTCCATTCTAGGAAAATGGTTTGAATAAGAAAGAAAATGGTATAGGAATAGACGAGTCAATTGGTACTGACAGACTTGCTCTTCCTTAGCCTAAGAAGGGAGCAGGGAGCCTAGTTTCAGTATTTCTTCAGGGCACACATCGGGAGAATGGTTTGCTGCGTTTAACCATCACGTATAGGCATTTTTGCTGTTATGTGCCTTTTTGAAGCCTTTGCTAAAAATTAAGCTATCTTGTTGTGCGTGAGGCAAGCAGAGCTTGATTTGGGAAAAACCAGCAACTAATTTACTTGTCTTCCCAGAGATTACTCATCTTCACGTGAGGTCATCCCACCTCAGCTCCTTGTGGGGTACTGATTTGGTCATCATGCTGTCATCAATCCACAAAGGTGTCCACAATTACAGATTGCACGAAACACCGTGAGTATTAGCAGGGACAAACCTGCCGAGTGATGCTATTTCATGTTTCAAAGTTTATGCCAAATTAATGAAGTCATATTTACTTCCCAAGCAAGTCATTAGCTACTGGGGAGGAGAAAGTGAGGCTGGTGACTGTGCACAGCCCTCCCTCCCTCAAATCCAAGTCAATTGCCAGTCGTCATCATCTTCCTGAGGTCATGAAGGAAGGACAAACCACACACTAGCTATTGAGGTGAATTACTTCAGAAGGCATTTAAACATTAAACAGTCCAGAGGCTGGTGAAAATAACAACAAAATAAAAAACCCTAACCTCTGTCCTTTCTCAAACTGTGACCCAGTAGCACAAGAATTCATAGAGCCTGCTTTGCTGATTTCATTTCAATCCCAATAAAAAGTGAGTGGTTAAAACAAACAAACAAACAAACAAAAAAGACAATTTGGCTGAAGAAGACCAGGCTGGAAGACCCGAGTTCGAGTCCTGCCAGCTCTTGAAGATTTTCTTCAGCGCCTGCTGATCTGTATTCTTAGAGGGAGTTTCCCCACTGGTCCAGGCCTCCCCCACCCCCTCCGTTTAGGGTCTGGATGAATGTCAGCTTGATGCGAAGGAGCCCCTCCTAGCTCCGGAAGGCGGCAAGTCCTCCAGAAATCCTCGAGTCCAGCCCTAACCCTCTCTACAGGCCAGGGGACGGTGAAGGAGGCTCTGGACGTTCTGGGAGGGAGGGGGCTGCAGCAGACTGGGGATCCCTGTCCCACCACCATCCGGAGCACTGGACTTGGGGCTCCGGAGGAGCTCACTTCAGAGCCTTCCCGAGTCACTCATTCTCCGGGGGAGCTCGGGCAAGTCCGGTCCCTTCTCTGGGCCTCAGTTTCTTCATCTGTCAGATGATGCCTCCGAGTCTCCTCGGCACCTGGGCCCTGATGTCGCGATCTTACAGCCCCTCCCCCCCCAGGGTTCCTAGACTCAGGGAAGGCCCCTTTGGGCTCAGAGCGTGGGGGGGGCAGGAAGCGCATGCGCGGCTGGGGTCCGGGGCCCGGGGCCCACGGCCAACCACTCCTGCCCCCCTCCCCCCGGCGCCATTCTGGCTCTGCTCCTAGTCTGGGAACCCTCAGAGCGGTCAGGGCCTCATCTTGCACCTCGCCGGAGGAGAATGGGAGGGCAATGGGGTGCGGAGGGGGTCGATCTTTACGGCCCGAGGCAGAGCACAACCCACGACAGAAAACCTCTCGACGCCCAACATGGCGGTGGCCCCGGAGGGAGCACGAGTCCCACGCTGGCGAGGACGCCCGGACGTCGGTGACGTCAGCATCCGGGAATCTCGGCCGGGATTCTGGCTCCGTGCCGCCGCGAGGACAACGCTGACGTCACCGCCGCGCAGGGGGAGGGGCGGGGCTGCCCGAAGAGCCAGGACGCTCGCACCTGCGCAGACGGGTCCGGCGCTCCACCTCCCCCCATCCCCCCCACCGCGGGCGGGGCGACGAGCAGGGTTTCCCATCATTGTTCTCTAGCCGGGCCCGGCTCCTGGTCCCGGTATTGGGTGTGCGCTCCGCCGGAAGTCGCTCCCGAGCTGGGGGGCCCCCTTCCCGGGTGGTGCGACCCCGGCCCCCGCGCCCCGGAAGTGATCGGCAACGGCGGCGGCGGCGGCGGCGGCAGCAGCTGCCAGCAGGAGCCCCGAGCTGTCCGGCCCCGGTCCCGGCCCCGCAGCGGCGGCGGCGGCGGCAGCGGCAGCGGCGGCGGCCTCAGCCTCGCCCCGGCCGGCCGTGCGTGCTTGCCCGCCTCCGCTCCCCGGCCGGCTGCAGGTGAGCGCGGGCTCGCGGGGCGCCGGGCTCCGGGCGGTGGGTGTGTCCGGGCCGGGCCGTCCAGGCCTCGGGAGCGCGGCCCGAAGGTCACCCCGCCCGCGCCGGGGCATCCATTAGGCGCCTGCTGTGTGCGGGGCGGGGGATGGAGAGGAGAGCCGTAGCATCCATCCATCCATCCATCCATTAGGCGCCTGCTGTGTGCCAGGCTGGGGGCGGAGGCGGAGGCGGGGGAGGAAAGGCGCGCCCCTCCTTTGGCTGGGGGGAGAGCCGCAGCGTCCATTCATTAGGCTCCTGCTGTGTGCCGGGCTCCCAGGGGGCTGGCCTCTCGGAGGGTAATGGAGAACCGCAGCTTCCATTAAGCGCCTGCTGTGTACCGGGCTCTTGGGGGTACCGAGGAGGAAAGGGGGGCCTCTCCTTTGGGGAGGCTGGTGGGAGAGGCGCAGTATCCATTTATGAAACACCTGCAGTGTACCAAGCTGGGTGGGGAGACCGAGGAGGAAGAAGGCGCCCCTCCTGCGCGGGTTCGGGGGAGAGCCGCAACGGCCATCCATTAAGCACCTGCTGTGTGCCAGGCTGGCCAGGGACTGGGGAGGGGAGGAGGAAAGAGCCGATCCTCGATCCGCCTTTGGGGGTGGGGGGATGGGGGCAGGGGAAGATCTCCCAGGGAGGAGAGTGAAGATCAAGCCGGCGTGTGTCTGTGTGTCTGTGACTCTGTGTGTCTGTGTGTCTGTGACTCTGTGTGTCTGTGTGTGTGCGCGCCTCTGGAAGACCGAGCCCTCTGCCCTCCGGGAGTTCCTTTTTTACTGGAGACCAGAACACCGGAGACATCTATTACATGCCATATTTTGGCGAGCGGGAGGTAGACCGGGGTTTGAGAGGGCTCTGAACTCCAAGCCAGCCCCTTGACCCCCTGGGCCGGCCGCGGGGACCCATCAGCCTCCCCCCCAACTCCGTCCGAGCCTACTAAGGGTCAGTGACAACATTTACTAAGCTAGCCTACGTCTGGGGAATCAAATTAGAAAAAGAAAAGGTGGTGTTGTGCCCCTGGAGCTGCCAAAGGCGGAGAGGCTCCTGGGGAGGTCCAGAGGGGCGCAGTCTGGTGAGAAGGAGGTGACCGGCCTGGGCGCCCTCCCTCTGGGGAGGTTCTGGGGGATGCTGCCTCTCCGGTGACCGAGGTGGGCAGTGGGGTACCTCTCTGCCTCTGGAGGCTGAGCCCCTCAGGAGGGCCTCCTCCCTGCCCCCAAGGCAGCAATTTTAAAGCTGAAATCCGGGGCGATTGGGGGAGGCTGATCCATGTTCAGTCTTCTAAAAGGATTTTCTGATTTTGTGTGGTAGTTGCTTTGGGTGCGGGTAGGCTGTACTGTTTGTTTCTGATTTGGAGGAAATGGAGAGGGGAGGGGGAAGTTGGGCAGCTACCTGAACCTTTGAGGGTGTTACCCCTCCTAGATAACATCACCGGATTGAAGTAGATAAGGAGACTAACAAAGGGTGGAGGAAAGGGAGCCCTCTCTCGGCTTTTGGTTTGAGTTCCATTCTTTGCTCAGTCACTTGCTTCATATGTTTGGGCCTCAGTTTCTTCATTTGTTAAAGGCTGGATGGAGTTAGACTAGACAATCTTCTCAGGCTCTTCGCTGTCTGAACCGTCGTGACCCGCCTTTGCATGAAACGCGGATTTCTGACTGAGCTCTTATGTCTACTCCAGTGCCACACCCTAAAATACATTTCTGGGGTGCTGACATTATGGCTTTTGTTTTTAAGCTAAGATTTTAGTTTCTATATGCCTTTTTTAAATGGTAAGATTCATTTTAAGAGTTCAGTTAAGAGAAAAACTGACCTGATAGGTTCTTTATTTTATTGAAACTTGTCTGTCGCAAATGATTTCCTTGTTGAAAGTAATTCCTCAGGGAGGCAGCCTGGCAGAGCGAATGTAGAGGATTGGATTTGGAGTCAGGAAAATCTAGGTTCAAATCCTGTCTTTTTAAAGAGACAGGACAAGGAACTTCTCCAGGCATCAGTTTCTCACTTCTAAAACGGGATGTTAATACCTGGAGTAAGTACTTATCTCATAGGGATATTAAGTTCCAATAAACATAATCCTCAAGTCCTGTGTAAACTTAAAAAAAAACAAACCACTATGTTGATATTGCTTATCATTAAATCGACTTAAGGGTGTGTAGTTCTAAAAATAATTCAGTAAAAGAGCCTCCTGCCAGATATTTGCCTGTGTTACATTTCAGGTTAAGATTTATAAATTATCGCAGTGAATGTTGTGCCCTTAGCTTTATGGTTGTAATTAAATTGTGAAAAAGAAACAATGCTACATTTATCTAGTCAGTAAGCTGAGCATAAAGCATTGTAAGTACTCCTGTGACTCTACAAACTCTTTGAACTGTGATTTTTGTGTTACAAGTGATGTTCTCATTGTTTGTGTGGATGGATGTTACTCCTGACAGTCATTTATTCCTTTGGCTAATTATCTTCTGTTCAGTTAGCAAACTTGAGTCAGTTTGAGTTGTGGAATGTAGTGAGTGATTTTCCTTTGTGGCATGGAGTTCAGCCTACCAAAGAGGAAAAATCTTAAGACATGGAGCTTTTTAAAATTCCAGAAAGGATGCTTCAGACAGCCTTGACTTCTTTGGTGCTGGTGCTCACAGTTGTGAACGTTGATTGGTTGCTTGTCCTTCGTTCTCCAAGGGGACCAAGATGGCGTCACTGTGTTGGAGTCAAGGTCTGGTATGTCTGGCAGTGGCTGACCAGACCCGTGCACGCTTGGAAGGCTCCACCACAGATTGGTCACCAGTAGTCCACGTGAATATTTGCAGTGAAACTGTCTCTGGATTTGTGTCTCTCACATTGCTTTTGAGCTGCTGCAATTCTGCTTTGCTCATAGAGCACAACACTTTCTTTGATGTGGGCAGTCATTCGCCAGCATCTCCCTTGCGAGACCTCTAGAGTGTCCTTGTATTGCTTCTTCTTACCTCCATGGGAGTGCTTGCCTTGTGCCAGTTCTCCACATCATAGTCTTCTAGGCAAACATACGTATGACATTTGAACAATGTGGCCAGCCCATCAGAGTTGCACTCTCTGCAGTAGAGTTTGAATACTTGGCAGTTCAGTTCAAGAAAGGACCTTGTACCTTATCTCGCCAGATGATCTTCAGAATCTTCTACAACGATTCAAGTGGTAGCCATTCAGAAAGACAAAACAAGAATTTTTGGATTGTGCTTTAAAATATAAGAATGATGGGCTCTTGATAAATGCTAGATAAAAATATTTGCATCAACTCTTATAAGTGAAATGAAAAGGGAAGGTGAGAGCTGGCCAACCTCTGTCTAAGCAGCTGCTCACCCTAGAGTCGCCACAGAATAGAAATAGAAAGAGCTGCAGCAGACGTACTTAGCATTTACAGGAAAGGCCCAGGCAGCAAAAAAGAAGCCCCAGGCCTGCCCATGGGTGGTGATGAACTCCAAATGGGGCACACTCGACCTGACTGGCATCCTCAGAACTTGCCATGGGGCAGACCATGTTCAGAAGCACCAGACTCAAGCCTCGAGTTTACTAAACTGATGAATTCTGAAAAAACAGGATGTATCAAAGGGGTGATGGCAATGCCTTTGGAGAGACACAGGGCCCAGAGTTGGGGAGCCTGGTGGGGAGCTTTGGGGTGAAGAGAACGGGAACTGAGAGTGATTAGGCATGTACTGGAGAGCACTTGGGTAAAAGGAGAAAGTGGGGGAAGCAGAACGTAGCCCTGGCACGACAACTTTATGTAGTAATAACCCATCAGCAAGAACCCTGTGAAGTACTGTGTGAGGTATTGGGGATTCAAAGATGGAAGAAAACTAGGCCTGCTGTCAAAGAACTTGCATTCTAGTGCAGAAACCATCTGATGGTTTTAGGGATGGGGCATAAATGAGGGGACTAGTGGGGGGGGGGTGGCTGGCCCTTGGAGTTTAAGCTGAGCTTTGAGGGGTACTGGGAATTCTTAGAGGCAGAAGAATGGGGGAGGGAGGAAGAGTTGTTGAAGGGAGGGCATCCTAGGCCAGGGGAGTCTCCCATACAAAGGCACCCAGAAGGGAGATGAGGAAATGTGTTTGAAGGATAGCAGTAAGATCCATTTGGCTGAACAGTGACACCCAGTGGGACACGCATATGCCTGGCAGGTAGGAGAGAGGGAGAGAAGGACTTTGGGACACCTAGAGGAGGAGGTGGTGTTTGATCCTGGAGGTAATTGGGAACTGTTAGCACTCTTAGAAGCACAGCCCGTGAAGATGCACAAAAAAGGTTCTCACCCCCAAAGATTTGGTGCAACACCAGAAAAATGATACTGCCATCTCATCAGTGCAAACGGCATTTAAGGAAGACCCAGTCCCATCTGCTTTGCCCTGACCAGCATTGCCTTTCCAGCTCATTTGCAGCTGAAACCTCTGTTGGGGCCCCCAGCAGTCTGGGAGCAGCTCGAGAGTCAGTGCCATCTTTTCCGTTGGGGAGTAAGCATTTCATAAAGACGTTGTGGAGTGCTTCATCTATTTTTTGGGGGAAGGGGGTGCTAGACAATGGAGTTAAGTGATTTGCTCAGGGTCACACTGTAAGTGTCAAGTGTCTAAGGGCACATTTGAATTCAGGTCCTCCTTATTCCAGGGCCAGTGCTCTATCTATTGCGCCACCTAGCTGCTCCCTGATTTGATTTTTATATTAACTTTATTGATACTTTTTGTTTTTAGGGGTAGCAACTAGACCTGTGATTTCTCTGCTATGAGTTGGAGGTGTCAAAAGCCCCTGAGGGCACAGATTAAAATGTAATTGGAAAATAGTTAAGAAATTAAAATATAATAAAGCACATTTAATGTTAATATAGGATTTTCTAAGTCATTTAAATGACTACTTTTCTCTGAGTTTGACACCTCTGGTATAGGTCATACCCTGGTGAGGAAAATCCCACTGCTAGTGCTTCCTTGCACTTTCTCTGCAGCTTAGACTCTTTTTTGGGGGGGGGGCAA